CAGGGTGTAGTTTCATACTAAACCCAGCTGTGTTTAACTGCACACTGCTGCAGGAGGGCAGTCCCACTTAAACCCAGTTCTCCTGACACTCCATCTACCAACTGTGTGACATCAGGACAAGATGGGTCAGCAGCTGAACTTACTGAAGACCCCACCCAAACATTTTCTCATCAGTGAGCTCATTCACCTAGCCTACTCTGTAATGGCACAGTCTCTGCATCTCCCAGAAGGAAGAGAATGAACAAGCGCAGTCAGCACAGCCCGCCCTTTCAGAGGCAGCCCACACTTAACTCAGAGTAACTGTAGCAGAAAACGCACCCTGGTTTAATGATGGTGGAGAACACAACCAAAAAAAGGCAAGCCAAGACAGCTCAACTGATGCTGTGAGTGAGAGGAGATGAGAAGTATAGTAGCATTCCCGAACAGCACAGCTGCTGTTCCATGAATGAACTGAGGTGGAGATGGTAGGGGTGGAGTGAAGGTGCACACAATAGCAAACTGGAATCCTGATGGGCTCAGATACTGATGAAATGTACGTCAGAGGAATAAGCCATATATCAGAACAGCTCAGCTACTGTTGTGCTGGCAAGCAGAGAGAAAAGCACCATCTGGAAGAGCCCTACCAGTGCTACTTTTCTGAACAATTTAGTATAGCAGTTCCCATACAAATGAGAGAACAGAAATAGTATCTCTGCATGGTCTGTCCTCTTCAAAGAGGGAGGAAAGCCAGTCCCAGAAGTTGGTCTAACTGGACATAGCAGCAAGTTTCTTCAGCATTGTCCAAAGCCTCAGTCCTGTCAAAACCCTTCACTCACATCAATACTGTTACTCATTTTGGTATTATTCTATCTGAGTATAGACTTACAGAAAACAGAACCTCCACCTGCCTGGGACTGCAATAATTAAGATTCATATATTTTTCAGAGCCCATGCCCAGCTTCTATTAACGCTACAAGGGTTATGCGATTACTCTGAATCAGAGCTCAGTGATGGAGAAAAATAAGAAATATGTCATACCTCACATTCGAGAGTTCCATAGTAAGTGCTATCTAAAAATACTTAATCTAAAACCATAATTACAAGCTTTAAACACACATACTTACTTTAGAAAGCCCTGTTTATGTTTCTTGCTCTCATAATTTCCATAGACTATTTGCAGAAGCAGACTTGCCAGTGTGATCAGCTTGGCATCAGGTGATGTATAGAAACCCTTCAGTAAATTATATCTGGCTTCATCAAAAAGGATAAGAATAGCTAATGGATCCTCAATCTGTTAAAAAGATTTAAAGAATATAATTTCTTTGTAAAATAAAATTAGCTTAGAAACTATAAATACATTCTCTCACCAATTCAGAGACAGAAGACAAAGGTGTGATCATGACTGAAGCATACATTTTTGTAATGCTTTGTAATAGAAAAAATGACATATTTTCATTGACTTAATTCAACACTTCACTGATCTAACACACTTACAAATTAAAGGTCACTACCATACCATGCCCAATCAAAAGGTTCACAGAAATACTGACATCTCTGGGTTTTTTCCCCTCATGAATCCATTCTGAATAATGTTTCAATAATCCCATTGAAATGGATTAAATATCTGAAAAATCATGGCACAAAGAAGAGAAAGAAAATTGGGCAGGTTGTTTTCAGCTGTATGACAATCAGACAGAGACTGAGGCACACAGATTTATGACGAACCAAACTGGCAGGAAGGTGAGAAATGAGAGAGAGGAGAGAGAATGTGCAGGAAGGCAAGAAGAAGGGAGAGAGGACAAAACCTGAGACTCAATCATTACAGAAAAGGAGAGATGTCCGGTTTAAATAAGTTTGGAAATTACTACAGTCATTAAACACATGAGTGTTGATGGTCAAAGTGTTCTTACTCTGATGATTTCATGCTATCACTTCCAAGTTGTGGTGGTGCAGACCCCCGCCTTGGGCCGCATCGCAATGTCGGCACCAGCCATTATGTTCTTGTTTAATTGCAAAATGCAGTGGGCTGGGGCAACCCGGTACTTTCTGACCTTGCCTAAAGACGCAGGAGTTGAAGCATTTCGGTCCCTTCCCGTCCTGGGTGCCAGCACAGCAAGCTGGGGTGATCAGGCACTCCCTAAACACACCGGGAAGTCCTGCTGCCTGGGAAATGCACCCGCAACCTCTCCTGCCTGGATCACAGCCCACTCTGAAGAATGCCAAGATTGTCTGACAAGAATAATGGCCACAATGAAATGACTGACCAAAGTCAATCATCTTGCAAACCTATAAACACCGATCCTAAGTGAGGCCCCTTGGAGCTCTCTGGGATCACAGCAGGCTGTGTCTTGCCATCTGCCCCTGAGCTGGGACACCTCTCAGGCCAGACTCTGACCATCCACTGGTAAAGCTGATGAAGGAAAAGACTGACTGCCTGCAAAGGCAGACAAAGGGAAAAACCACACCTCTGCAAAGGCCAACAAAGACCGTCCGCTTGTAAAAGTTGGACGAACGGAGATGTGTGCAATTCACTATAATTAGGTTTCGTAAAATCCTAAAGATCATTGGGTACCAAAATTTACTACAATCTGCAGAAAGAAAACATCTTAATCAGAGGTTAGCCTCTCTATCTGTATGTGTGATTTGTTTAGAAACTTTGCTGAATCCTTATCTAAAACACTGCATTGAGTATAATGGATTGTTAGTTATTGACTGATTATGCACTGCTATATAATCATGTAGCCCAACCTTACGGTTTACTGTGACAGCGTTAATGGATTTTAAGCTCCTGCTATCTTCAAGTTATATAGGACCCACAATACTATGTTAAATCACTACGACTGAAATCCCTGGACCCAAATCCCCTTAGACGTGAACCACTGACCAAGTCTGGGACTAAGGGTGGATCTAGCTGTACCTAGATTCCTCTCTGAGAAGGAGTTTAGAGAGCAAGAGGGTCCATTCTGAACCTCGTGAGTTAATGGGAGGATTTCCTTAACCCCTTTCACTCCCAATCTCTGTCTAAAATCATTCCACCCCAAGTCGATATTTCTCCGTGTGCTTCTCTCAAAATCAGTCCAGCCCAACCCCAAGTCGATTTACCTTTGTATATTTCTCCCATGTAATAAGAGTGAACCTCACCATCAAAACTGAACCTTGATAAATCTCTGTTAAACTTTGCTAAATTCCATCAAATTCATTAAACTTTGTCAAATTATCATTCTACCTCAATAAAACATATTGTTGCTTTCCTATTCTGAATAAGGTGCATTCCACCCATTCCATGGCAAGCAGGATCCTAAATCAAGATTTTGTTACAAATTATTTAAGTGAAACCACTCCTCCATGACACAAGTGCAGACCTTTTTTTCTATTTCCAGTGGAAGTCTCACATCTCTCCTCAGGAAAAGTTGTGAAGTTTCCCTTTGAGGATCCAAGTTTGTCAGTTCAGTGAATATTTCAGGCCAATCTCGAATATGCTGCAAAGGCTTGTGATATGGCTTCAGCTGGAGGCCTGAAAAATAACAGGTTTTGGTTATAAATAAACAAGCAGCATAACCTAGCACACATATATCATTAAATGCTGCACCAAAACCAGAGTATCTGAAACCGAGGACTCGTTAACAAACATTTTCCACTATGTTTTCTAAACTGCTATATATAAAAGGTTTTGGAAACACGGATTTTGACAAAACTGTCTGAATTAATTCACTAAATGCAGTAGTGATGAAACTTTGTTATTTTCACCTTCTCAAGAGTGAAGTGGTGTTTAAAAATTGAATGGAATACCAAGATGGACCTTAAAAACCCACAATAATAAAATATTAGAGACTGTTGTCTCAATTATTATGGGAGAAAGACAAAGTCAAATAATCTTATTGCTGACAGAAAAGTACAGATACAGCTTATCTTACAAACTTATTTGCCATTTTTGGATATATACAAGCCATAAACTTTTCAGAACAGACATTCTTTTTTTTTTAATCTGTAAAACATCTTGGTTCTTAACAGGCTAGTCATTCAATGAGCAGACATGTTCTCCTGTCTATATGAGAACTGAGAATACAGAGCTTCTGACTACAGTTCTGCTGTGTACTAGAATACCTGTGGTTCTGCTCATTCCCGTATCCTGCCTGTCCTTGTGGTTATTACTGCTTGGCTGTTTGCTAGTAGTGAGGAACTAGAAGGCTATATCTGCCCCATCCTCAGTGCCCTGGCTTTTACAGTGTGACATTTGACATTATATTTAAAACTTCGAAGGACATGTTATAGTGCGACATCTTTTCACTGTGAATAATCTGCTCACGCAACTTGTTCACCCTACATTCAAACACAGGAAAACGTCATACTTCCTACAAACAAGACAACTATGGTCTTTACAGTTGTAGACAACAAACTGCAAGAAATACATTTTATAATGAAACTTGTCCATTAGTTGTTTGAAGCTGTAAATCAGAAGCTGACCTACTTTCAAACTTAAGCTAAATATCTCGAGAATTACTTGTTTTTAAACAAACAATGTATCAGTGAGCTCTTCCCCTCAAATGCAATCAATGATTTGAGTAAACCATGACATACATATTTAGAAAAGGCACAAGCTGCAAGACTTCAACACTCAAATACTTCCCTCTCTCCCAGACGTTAACATCTATGTTTGAGGGTTACAGCAGCCATGTGGTATACAGGAAAGTAAAAAGTCAAATGGCATGACACTGGGAGAAAAAGATTAAAAAAGAACAGATTTCCTGCAATATTTCTAGATTAAAAAAAAAAAAAAAAAGGAACGAATGCCACTTCAGTGGAAGTTTAACATCAGTAAACAAAATTTTAAATGCAAGGCTTCTCTGTTAATACTACTGTCAACACGGTAGCCTCCCAGGCCTGAATTGTGCTTTGTAAACCCATTATGATGTGTCCCATAGCCGTCTTGCTGCAGCAGTTACATTTTCTAACAAAACACATCACAATCATTGACTCTTTTGTGGTTCTATTTATCTTTTGCTACATATCTCAGACTACAACTATAATACACTTTTTATTTAGCTCAGAAATATGAAAAAAATACATCAAATGTAGTAACGACATTTTGCATCAGAACTCCTTCCCATCAAATATATCTGCAAACGTGTTTATCAAAAATCCTTTCAGTGCAAAACACATGAAAATTTATAATAATTAAAGGACCTAATGAAAAAACATTAAATCAGCTTTAATTACTAGATTTAAATAGATTAAACATTACTAAAAAGAACTACATGCATCCAATTTCAGATACTCTGGGAATAAAAAATACCACTAAAATTGAGGTAAGTTGACAGTAAGGGCTATGACAGCAAAGGTGCCCTATAACAGAAAGGGAATCTGGACTAGCCTCATCCTCCTAGATGAAATATATTCTAGATGCTACAGTGATACAGGGTCAGACCTACTGGGGGTACCCAAAATGATGGCTAGAATGGACAAGCTCTCCATAGCTCTGAAAGCACAGTTTGTAAAGGCTGGCAGTTGATCTACTGGAGGAAAGCTTAAGCAGAGGAAATAGAAAAGTTGGTCTCATTCCTTATGGAAAAGGTATAAAGAATGAGACCTACAGCAATTATGGAGTCTCTGGAAGGGGCAAAGTATATTAACAGGCAGCCTAGATACAAACTAACTCCTCAGAAATGGCTTTTAAAAGCTGATAGAAACAGTCAGAGAGCATGTTTCCTATTTTCCTAAGAAAGTATTATTTGTTTCTAAAGGGAAGCGGAAATAAAAAAGCTATGATAAACTCTCAGGTATAACGATCTTCCTTGTTACTTACTGAGGTTCTCAGAACAGATCCAGATAGTGAAGTACTGCTGAGTTTCTTGAGACAAACGCATCCCCTCCATTATCTGCTGTACAGTAGTATTGTTTCCATGTTTCAACTCAACAGAGCGGTATGACCCATCCATACGATAAATTCGTGCCTTTTCATACTACATAAAAATTTAAACATATTAGACAAAGAGCTTGTTAAAATCCTTTCTGTTGGTGCTTCTGAAGAGAAAAGCAATTTTACCGTAACTCAGCAACATCCACACTGTTCAGAACAATAAAACCACACAACTCCTACACATTAACTACTTGTCAAAACTGCTTCTTTCATGTCCTATGCAAGTTCTTACACTGCGCTTTCACCACAGTAAATACATGAAAGATCTTACTAGTATTTTGAGGACTTCACTTCTGTTGAACTCAAAGGCAAGTAGGCATTTAAAAGTTCCCTGAGGGATCTAGGCTCAACCGCCTACGCATATCCCAAAACATCCACCTCACTATTACTGGCAGGTTATGAATTATTCCTTATCAGCCCATACTACAAAGACTGATTTTTCAGAGGGAAGCACGACCCTTTACAGAGATCCCAGTACATAAGAATACAATCTCACTAAGGTCTTTTAGCATTTCTTTAATATTACTACTAATAAATCATTTTTCCCCTTCAGAACTCACAGAGCTTTCACTGAACTGCATGTGGGCCCAGAGTATGCCTCCTGAAAGACTTAAAGCACAGACACTGAAGTCATAAACCAGTGAAACTTATAGTGTTCATCTCTGTAACAGGTTGAAAGCTTCAGCTGCTTAAATAAAAAAGATGCAGGAATTCGTTATTTCCCTTCTTCAAATCTACTCGGTCATCAAGAACCGAGACATCAATCTTAAAAACTTCTGGGAAAAAAAAAAAGATTAATGCCTTGGAAAATGACAATTGACTGAAAAAGGCTGGAATGGAAAACATCAGCCTATTTTTGCTGCAGTAGTCACTGTGACTCTTATTGCAGTAATTTCTATCATTATTTTTTAAAGTTAATGTATTAATTCAATAGTAATAAGTGACAACATAGTATCATCTACTACGCTGTGAAATCTACTTAAAATGTGTGCGTTAGTCTTTTAGCATCATTAGACACACATCTGCCATTTGACCAACCGCATAATAAGATCCCTAAAATAAAGGGGGTCAATTCCCTCATGAAGTATTTTGGAAGATTTCCTCATACAGAGTGAAATGAAGATAATTTAAAAGATCTTGAAAAGCTGACAGATTTACTGCCACCTACCTACAGAGATACAAGTAGCATCTGAAACTGAAGAAAAGAAACAAGTAGTTTTATATCATTTGGCTAATTTTAAATCTACTTCAGGATGAGAGGAATCGCATCGTAAATTTTGGTTACTATCCTGGCTAGATCTTCACTGACTGCCAAGGAAGCCTACACTGACTAGCTGATGTAAAGCCTATTTTGTAGAAGCCTACATTTAGCCAACTGAATGCTCCTGTTTATCAACATATAAGATGACAATGCATAAAGAAAGTTAATGGTTATATGAGCAAAAGTAGACATAAAATTGGTAGCTAATGTGATGCTCCTACAAACAAATCACAACATCACATTTAAAGTCTTACAAATATTTCTTGAGCTATACATAGACAGAAACATAGATATTTGTCAATATTTACTCTAACAATTTCAGTATACTGCACATTTCCAACAACAGCTATAAATGAGCTTAGCTCTTCTACATGTTTATGCACAAATTAAATACAAACTTTAACTTATTTAGAAAATACATTCATACGGGTTTATTTATGGCTTCCTTCAGCAGTTTCACAGTTTCTTCCCACTCATTTTGTTTGTTCTCTTCACAGACATTCAGTGGAGATCTTCCTTGTTGATCAGTAATGTGCTACAAACATAAACGAACACTGATAACACATTTTTTTCACTGGAGACAGGTAAACATTTACATATTTTCTTGAGATAATTAAAATCCTTGATCCTAGGGTTCAAACATCTAACTGATATACAATGGGAAAAGTAGAGGTAATGAAAAATATTTAATAATTTTCCAACAGGATCATTGTGTTTACACATTGTGATCCACACACAAAATATTTCACATGTACAACTAGAAACTGTTGCTAAAACTGCTTTTTCTATACACAAACAGAACTTACTCTGTCAATTTCTGGATGATTTAACAGGATTTGTACTATTTCAGCATGCCCACCTCCAGCAGCAAAGTGAAGAGGAGAGCTGAGTTGGCCGTTCAAAAGATTTGGATTGCATTTCCCTTTCTCCAACAGCATTCGAGTGGCTTCAACTTTTCCATACCTGCAGACAGGTTTAAAGCAGAACAGACCCAGCAAATGTAAAAGAAAGTATTTTTTCAGATAGTCCTAAATATGGGAAAGTATATTTCCATGCTCAAGAGTTTTTAGCTTTGAAATGACACCAAAGACAGTGGAACATTAATGAAGTTTGTAGAAATGAGTATCAGTTCTGTACTTCTTTGGTGGTAACCATTGGTCTAGTAACCATTTACTGGATTCATTACAGACACATCGAACCTCACTTTAAACTAGCTAAGTTTGGGAGTTGTAGCAATTCAGCCATGGCCAAACAGAGCTCAGCCTTGCCTGAAAAAAAAAAAAAAATAAACTGTGTGAGAATCAGAGTAAAGCTTCTGGTTGTCATGCAGATGGATCCTGAGGACTCAAACCTCACACTGATAACTGGTAAATCTTGCATATACTGCTTGTGAAAACTTTCTGACAAACACTAAAAATCAAATAAGATTTTTTTTTTTTATAATCGAGTTTGATTTTCATGTTATTCAATAAATACAGACACTACTATAAATACAGAAGACTAACTTGCATAAAGACAAAACAAAAGCATTTTTATAACAACTGAGGAAAGCTCTTCAGCCCTTACAGATTAAATCATCACAAAATTTTAGTCAAACAAGCTGACCTCTGTAGGTCACCTAGTGCAGCTTCCAACTCAAAGCTTGACCATCACCAACATGTGCTCAGCTCAGCTACTGCTATGCTGTAAAACTGCTCACAGCCTTTAACCAACAAAGACTGCAAAAGCGACCACAGTAAACTAGACCCAGTGTTTCCAACAGGAATTAGAACAGATGCTTCAGGACAGATATAAGAACATAAGAGGCAATAGACAAATGTTTGATGACATGATCTCCACACCTGGTCTCCACTGAAACCATTCAGAGTGAAATTAACCCAAAACCTGAAACTATCTTTCTCTTCACTTAGGTTAATGCTAACATGTATCAGAGTCAAAGTGTAAAAAGCCTAGAGCTTTTTTGATTTCTCATGTTTGAGTCTCTATGATAAATTATATAAATGATTAGTGCTGCATAATCTTCATAGCAAGAACGTATTTGATTGGTAAAACTATATTCATTTGACTCACCAGCATGCATAATGGATAGGTGCCCAGTGGTCACTATCTAACTGATTAACAGAAAACTTTTTATCCAGAAGGTGGCTTAGTAAATCAGAGTCGCCTTCACAAGCACTGCGGTGAAGAGGGAAATCATCTACCCACTGGTGTTCCCTATGAATTGAAAGGGGAAACAGGAGGAAAACACAGTTCAGAAATACTTCGATAGTTGAGAACATTGACTTTTTTTAAATTACTAACTTAGCACTAACTGTAGATCTACACGAAGAATAAAGATGAAGCTCATGTAGATAAAACACGCCAGTATTCATACAACTAGTAATTTAGTGATGCAGTAGTCAAGCCACAGCTGTATTCATTATACTAAGAAATGCTTCTGTAATGTTTACAACTTAAACCTTTCTTGGTCTGTCCTTTAATTGCCATGTTTCAGTACTTAGAGACTTCAAATAGAGTTTTTTTTAAAATATATATATTTATACAGGAAAGCCCTAAGTAACAGGAATTTCATTCTGACCAAGTCTACCAAGCAATATAACAAAACAAAATTATCCGTTAATGAAAAAGGAATGTAATATAATACTTGTCCTCTGTGACACTGCTCATGCTACGTTGCCACTTTTCTCTTTTAGGAATCTGAATCTTTGAATAGTCTGGGGCTCCAAGGCCAAAGTATGGATTTATTACCACTTTGTCAACCTGTGAAGACATAATTTAAACACAACTGAAAAAATATCTTACTGCGATTTGGCTAAACAATCCCTCGTCCAGGCCAGGTATTCTCTTGAAACAAAAGAACATTACAGTAAGGCAGTAACATTTTGTAATTGAAGAGAATGATGTTCAAATCTGAGGATTTGAAAAACCATTTAGCAGTAAGTGTCCAATAAAGAAATCTGATTATATGAAACATAAAGCACACACTCCTATCAAATACATGAACAAATTGCAACATGAAAATGTATGTATGCCTCAGAAATATAAAATTCAAATATAGTTCTTACCCTGTTGGTATACTGAAGGTCAGAGCCAAACAAAGGATTATAGACACACACATCTGCTTTCTCCAATGCCAGCATTTTACTCTTTATTTCCAGGGCAGTATAACCCATGTGTAACGAGCTCTCTGTTTGACCAGGTTCTATAGCATAGGCAGGGTTTATTACGTTTGTTTTAATTCTCTCTAGAGGAGATGGTCTGAACAAAGCTGGGATGGAGTGAGACTGGGTGTGCCGTTCATCCAACCACCTGCAGGAGAGAATGGGCAAGTAACTAATTTTCAGGTAGAAAGTGACTATTTTGGCCATGCCTGTCCATTACTTTGTTTGATTAAGGGTTGCATGTATGATAATCACACATTTTAATTAAAAATTAATTTTAATTATAACATGTACAGCCAATTTTATAGCACTAAATTAATCCCCAAACATGAACTTTTTTAACCAAATACAGTTAAGCAAACACTTGCTCAAACACGTTTCCTGCGGATGCAAACTCTCAAAGAAAAGGAAATTATAAGGTAAGAGGAACATTGGTTATAGCCAAAACACTTAACCACACCAACACTCACAATTTCATTTAATTTCAGTTTATCAGTATTACTACTCTCAACATACAAATTTTGAAACGTAAAGCAGTTTGTTTAAGGGTGAGCTAAAGTTTCACTATTTGTACTGACTTAAGCCTTCTAACTCCTGTGTTTCATTAGGGAGAGGTGAGAAAAGGCAAAAAATCAGAAGGTACTTGGATAGTTTCCAAATGCCAAGGCTCTTTCACACAGGCTACCACCTGCCTTTTCACAAAGTTGTGCTGAAGGTTATTCTCTCCTATGCGCACCCCTACTGACAGCATAGAAGGGCTTTAGAGCCCTCTTACTCTGAGCTGGAGAGGAAAGTCAGCCCTGTACACCTGCTGCACTTTTTCCTGCCACATATGCAATGTAACACAGGGCTCAGGGATTTTTTAATAAATATATTTCCACCAAATTGCAAAATGATTTTAGTGTTACGTTGAATGGGACACATGTTAACTAAGAGTCTAAAGCCAGGTTTGTATTTAAGGTTTCTGCACATACTTTCTTGCAAGCTGAAATAAACACGTACTTTTACAAAATACAATAAATTCTGGTTAGTGATTTAGCCATTGAAGAAAGGAACTATAGATCCACTGACAGACCGCTTGGATCTTGTCTGTCCCAGAACCCTGTGTAAGGATGGCAGAACATGGCCTGCAGTTCAACGCATATGCTGAGGCCAGGACTTTTACGTCCCAGATCCAAGCTATCATGTGCTGCAAAAGCCGTACTCATAGTCCTGCTGGGAAGGAGGACTGTAAAATGGTGATCATTGTGCTATAAACACTCTCTTGCCTCTCCGAGGTATTTTCAGGCATTTTCTCTGAACAGTTGGCAGATAAATTAGTTACGGTAGTTTGAACCTTTGAAAAGTGTTGTTTCAGATGACCGACATAAAGCACAATCAATATTGTCTACTATACTTCCAGGTTTCTCTCACAACTGTAAGGCCGGTAAAACATCTTAAGCAGAGCTTAAGAGTCTGAAGGCACTCATTAAGCAGCAAATAAATATAACAACTGGCACAACGGTGCACTTGAAAAATACTATGACTCTACTGATGAACTGTAAAAACCCTACACAGGGAACCTTTTTAGGTAATATCCTGTAACTTATAACTTTTCATGTCAGCCAAGAGTTTCACCTAACTTTATTAATGCAAGTAAGTTCATACGTAAGTAGGTCCACTATTTGTTTGTTAAAGGTATATTAAAAAAAAAAAAGACCAAAAAACTTATTCATTTTTCAAATTACTATAAACCTGGCTAAACAACTAATCACCTTTCTGAAAGTTCATTCCCTACTGCAAATAAATTTGTATGGCTGGGGAATATGCACTCCTTTTGTAAATGTGGGTTAATTTAAATGCAAATCATAACGGTATACAACTAACAGGATATTTTTACTACACCCTGGCAAATACTCTTAGAGATGGCAATTATGGCACTCACAGAAGATTAATCGTATTTCATATAATTTTACAGAATCTTCACTGTGAGAAAGAACTTCCAAAAAGCCACCTGATTTAGATAAACACACCATTCTAAAGTTTGCAAAAGATTTTTTAAGATTTAGAAATATGTTCCCAAGATTTCAGTTTCTGACAAATGTGAAGAAAATAACATGGTATCACAATGATTTCCTTCTTAATCACAAGAATGCTATAAAAACTATGTGCTACATCTAGAAATTTTCTTGTGTAACTTCTATTTGAATGTATTTTACTGATGGCATTTCTTACTTATCCAAGGCAATTAACATTCTTGCAGTAAGCGTAGCAAAATGGGTGCTGGATTCACTGCAGACCCTCATGATGTCTTGTAAACAGTAGAACACAGGGCATCCAGGACTGTATGCATATTTTGTATTATCTAAAAAGGAAACATACTCTGAAGACACACCAATGAGAAGAAGAATCATCTTTTCCCTTCTGCATCTTTTGTAGTTACATTCCAAACTAATTGAGAGCATAATCTTACTTTAGACTAGAGTAACTGATTTTTTCTCAAATGCTAATTGATAGAAATGACACACAATCCTGATGTAAAAATTCACAACTCAACAGGGTAGCCTTAAAAACCTTAAAGTGTTGAGTTACAATTCCATCAGCGTGATCAGCTTCATCTAAGGAATTAATATTAAACGTATACTGTTGCCAGAAAAAAAGAACAGGACCCAGGACTAGAAGAAGTATCTATTGCTATTGGTAACCCCACAATCGTTTTTATTTGATAGTTTTTATCCTTAAGGCCTATCAGTAAGGCAAAAATGAAGGTGCTTCCCCAAAAGCACACAGACATTTACTTCAGGCTTTTTTTGAAAATACTTTCCTGATGTAATTTACTTTGCTTTCTAAAGACTTTATTCACCATTCCTTATTCAAACAAAATTGTTTACAGACTTCAATAAGCATTCTTCTGTGAGTAAACAACATTGAACTGAATAGGATGTCTTACACTTGCATTCAGTAAATTCTATACAAGTTAATGCATATGTTTTGAAATATAACCAAGTGAATAAATACAGCCCAAATAAAACAGAACTGTGCTATCACTACAGAAACAAAGGCAATACATTAAAACCAAGGGTTTTTCCTTAAGTTTAAGTAACTTTCCCCAGTTTTAAAGTACTTAGGTTTCCATCTGAACGTAACTTTTAATGTTTAAATACAAAAATTATCATATAAAATAATAATGTTTAATGTTTTAATGTTTAAATGTTAATAATGTTTAAATAATGTTTTTTTCCTTAAGTTTAAGTAACTTTTTCCAGTTTTAAAGCACTTAGGTTTCCACCTGAACGTAACTTTTAATGTTTAAATACAGAAAAGCCATGTAGCATATTCATAAAAATGCTTAATAAACCATCAGCTGAACTTCTGCTAAAATGGGTGCAACTATCCAAAATTATGCTCAACATTACCTTTCACAACAGTTGGAACAATGTAAAGTGACGCCTCCTGGCCTGCCTTCTCTCCATCAAGAGGAAACTTCTTCATTAACACTACACGCTTTCCTAGCACAGTATTAAAAAACCAAAAATAATTAACCAACAAAACAACCAACCAAATAAAACAATCTAGTATTGGCTATCTGAAAGCTTACCCGACAACCTTCCTAATTTCTAGGAAGAAAAACCTGTGATTATTATGAGTGATAATCTAAAACAAACTAAGAAATTCTAAATAAATATGAAAAAAATAAAGAGCACAAATACGTATATATCCATTAACATGAAAAATTACATGACTGTACCTCTCTTTTCATAGCAACTTTTCTATAGCCCTGATTTTTCATAGCATTCACCCCCCAAACCACCTAGCTCTGTGTTAGAAAAGGTTCTTTTTGAAACAGGAAAGCACAGCGGCATGCTACATGCCATATTAGGGTGAATGCTTTATTCATGTAGTGGTAGGACAGTATTTTCCATGTTATCCTCCCTTCTACCCCTACAGAATTCAGCATTTCATTTGCTTTTCTGACCTTGGCTGCATATCTTAACAGTGGCCACACTAAGCTGGGCATATTAACGCTTGGGCCCTCTGTCAGTGTCAATGTAAAACTCTCTAAACAGCGTAAGACAGTTTTTGTTTTTACTGGGCATTCCTCTATGTGTATTAATGCTATTATGGTATTTCATGTTTGCTGCTCAACTAGCTTTGTTAAGTCCATCTAACTCCAGTTATTGCCATCCGCAACACCTTACCATCCAGCCAGCGATCCCTTTTCTAAATTGTCAGCACTGCATCGTCATGTCTGCACTGACAACCTTTCCAGTATAACCTCACTTACAAAGCAGAGATGAGGTACGCACCAAAAAAAGTGCTTTAGTCAGTACAGTTTATACCAATCTGGACATGAAGCTTGCTGGCCAAAACCACTTTTGTCAGCACAAGTGTGAGGTTGTTTGCTAGACCAGCTATGCAACTACAATGAAAAAGAAAATGTACTAATCAAATTATATCTGTGATACAGTTATGCCAGAAATAATTTTTCATGTAGATCTTGTCTACTGAACAATGTTGGCTTTAGAACGCTTTACAAGTGATCAATCCACTAGTCCAAGTCAAGTTTTAGCTGAAATTACAGGTAAAAAACCCATTCCAATCTGATTTACCAGAAGTTTAGCTATAAATCTCAATTCGAGGTGAAGAAGTAGTACAGACAGGCAAAGTTCCACTTAATAAATACCTTTTAGCAAGCATTTTATAGCGTTGGAAGGTAAAGGGAAACAAAGGTAAATTAAAGGTTTTAGCTGTATAGTTGGCCTGGATTTTTTTCATGAAACTCTAAACAAACCTTCTTCTTTTAAAACTAACTTAAACTAATTTCGTGCTTTTGCACAACCTCTCTGTGCCTATTTAATTTAAAAAATATTTTTATAGAGCTATTGACAATAAATCACATTAAAACATTTGTACCTTTAATACCCTGATTGGCTGGTGAAATTGGTTTGGTGGCTTCTAATACATAATCCAAGATGCCCTGGGTTATCTCGGTGCCTCCCTGCAGTTTAGTTTCCAACAAAACTTTCTTTCTTTTTTTCTTTTGGCCTTCAATGGGAACTTCAAGCAACAAAATCTTTCAAACAACAATGAAACCAAATGAGTTTAAGCACAAGTAAAACAAGTACAGGACACTTTTTTGTTATTTTATTTATCATACCACTGTAAAAGCAGTAACAAAATTCTGGAAGTACTGAATGTGGAGGAGCAGGATGGCAAAGTCAGAACGACCTCCGTAACAGTGAGGTTAAAGAGAATAAGACCAAGCTCCACCCTTGCCCTGAACAGCCCGCAGGGCAGAAGGCCCTGAAATGCCATGACACACACCGATATTACAAAACCATAAAGTGTTCAGGTACCATAAGGATGGGACAATGTATAGTAGATATATGACGTACATAGGCATTATTTAAGCAATGTTATTGTCATGTTTTCTCTTCTGCTATATTATTACGTATTTACTACTTATTATTTTTAAAATTTTTAATAAATTAAAAAAAAAAAAAGTATTTTACTTCATAGGATTTAGCTCGATATTCCCGAGAATTCAGGCTAGCAGTGTTTTTTGGACGAATCACAGCAACATATGCATCTCCAACGTTTTCTGGGTTTCCCATCTCCCCTTACTTGATCACTGGAAACAATAAACAGGAAGTAAAGGTTCAGCTGAAAAAAATAATCCAACAGCATGCTGAACTTCAGGATGCAGTAATTATATTCACCGATTCTTTGTGTTATTGTTTGTTCTTTAGCTGAAGAAATTCCAACGGCTGATACAATTCTGCTTCCTTTTTGCGAAAGGGGAAAATCTTACATCACATAGACTTAATACAAATAATCTTGGTCCCTAACGCACTTTTAAATTTTTTTTTTTTTTTTTTCCACTTTGGAACTATCTTCCTCATTTTGCAAGCCAGGCAAAAGGTCAAAGAATTTTAAGACTATGAAATTGAAAAAGAAAACAATTCTAAAGTGACAAGCACTGTAATTTATAAAACATGCTATGACAAAGTACTGCATTTCTAAGACTTCCACAGAGATTTCAAGAAAATACCTGATCTTCCTTCTCTCCCCGCCCCGCCAAAGGTAGAACATAGTCTTACCTACAGCCCAAGCAACAAAGCTGATAAAAATAAACTAATATGGATTAATTTACTTCATGTTACTTCAGTGGGGCTGCAAACTGGTGCACAATTCACTGAAATACAGAGCCTCTGAAAGGATTTAACATTTAAAATGAAACTTTGCTTACCCCTTACCCTTCTGTTTAACCCAAAGTGACAATTCCTATAATAATAAAACTTTAGGAAAATTATAGGGAAAACCTCCTAAGGCTAAATCACTTCACATATCAGATTTGAAAAGGGTCATGTCTGGTCATTAGCACCTTCCAGCTCATCATTTTCTTCATCCGCAAATGAACCCCCTTTCATCCCTTATCACCAGTAAGCACAATTTTTTTTGCATATTAACCCCTCCACAAAGATTTTTAACATTACTGTTTCTAGCTTCTTCACCTCTTCTACGAGAAACAGAGGTCTTCAGATTCCCATGCCCTTAGTCCAGTATTTTTGCTGGGATCAGACTAGCTGAAAACATATTAAAAAACCCAACATAAATAACAGCATGCAGATTTTCACCCGCAGTTAAGGTAAATATGTCACATGACTTAATGGTGGTACTTGGCCAACAACACCCGAATAGAAATATCTATCTATTTGCACTACAGTAGCAGCTGAAAACGTTAATTAAGCAACGTGTCGACTTGCGAGAGCTCGTACTTTGGGATGTCAAGAGTTCTGGAAGGAACAAGAAACAGCCGTCCCTTACGGGCAGCCCGAAATGCACGCTCCCCGGCTTCCCGGGACGCACCGCGCTGGACTGGGTTTGGGTCACGGGCCTGGGCGGAGGGAACCTGGTGGGCCGGGCCGGGCCGGGCGGCGGGCGAACTCCCTCTGCCCCGAAATCCAGGGGCGGGGAGCACGTCCGGGAAGGAGCCAGCCCCGAGAGTTGCGGCGTGACTCCGGAAAACAAACCCAGAGGACGAAGCAGGGTGGACTTGCAAGGCCGTGACGATAACGATGACGGCCTTCAGCAGGCGCCACCAGTGAACGGATCCTGACCAAATCCGGGACCAACAACGCGTCCCCGTCCCAACGGACGCAGGTTCTAGAGAACATGCCTCAGCCGAGCTCCTCCCTGCGCCGCCCAACAGCACCTCCAGAGCCCAGGTCTCTCTCCTCTCGCCAGCCCGGGACCCGCCGGGGCAGAG